TAGACGCAGCGCAGTGCCCGAGTTTCCGTTAACCTTACGTTCTACTTGAACCCAAATTGGACTGTTTTCGAGAAATACACTCATTTGCAAATCAAGTTGCCTTGGATTTGCGCTTCCTTACGTGAACGCTTACATCAAGTCACACACACATAATACGTATCGTAGACATACGGCTCTAAAATGAAGTCGAGCGAAAAGTGACCGTTTCATGCAACCTGCTTCTTTTGCTGCCAGTGCTACGGTGCATACTGTTGATGGAACCCTCGAATAGTATCTGGTCAGGTGTTAAAGCACCACCGCGCCTCAGATGGAAGGCTGGCAAAGAGATTAGGTAACGGTTTTGCAGTGTTCGTACACTAATGTTTATTATTCGGAGAACATCCAAGAAAGTTTAAGAGGATGTTTGATAATGTTCCTTCTTCAAATACCGTGTGCAAATGATATTTTCATTCCCACGTCTAGTTGGTTGTATCCGCGTTGTTCTATGAACTGCTTGTTGAAGTGTTGTCTCCTGGATTTGAGTCGGCTGATAGCTTGTGGATGATACCTTTGTGCTAATGTGAACTTTCACAGGTATGGCGCATGTATGATTTCGTCGCTACTTAGTCTCCTGATAGGACTAAATACACACTGTGTCAGTCAAAGTTGAAACACGTGAGGTGAACTGCGTGCTTGAAAAGTGTTAAACTGGGATGATCAGGTGACCACACGCCCGCAGTTGAATGGTATGGTGTTCCGAGACATAATCGGAAGGTTGCTGACGCTATACTTCCGGAGTATTGATGCAATGCACAACAAGGAACAAAAATCTCTGTAGTTCCTGATCTTCCACATAAGTTAAGCTCGCTGGCTGGGTGAAATCTTGATAGACACATTTTCTGCACCAAACATTTTGAAGTGGCCTAATTTTCAAGCTGGACCGCTGTTTAAGGTTTCTGAACTTTACTCCAAGGTATTGTATGACAAACGCACCCTAAGTGGGAGGGATGACTCCTCCAATATTTCAGAACAGTGGAGCTCCTGAAATTCCCTGAGGAATGTTTCTGTGATGAAATATTTACGACTTTTTTTGCCTCAGGTTAGGTGCTTGGGTTTGTGTGACTCTGCAAAGTCCAGTTTCACACATGCACTTCAATTCCCATCTCACTTGGTTGAACTGCTCGCGTATTGCGTGATTAGACATTATCATCATGCCATGTACTAATTAACTGAGCCCTGTGGAGTAGGCTTTGAAGGCCACCTGACCAGCATGATGACTGGTTCTTGTGCGGAAATCTGACTGAAAGCCACTTACTACGGTCCGGCCCTCGTCGACCTCGTCTTACGGTCACCATAACAGTCGGAACGGATGTTCGCTTACCTATAAGCGTAGTCTACTGCGGTGAACCTTTGATGTCAGATGCGGCGGGTGTGTTTCATCTAAAGGCTTTTGCAAGTACGCATACCCTATTGTGAGACTAAGATCTGGACTCGATATCTCTCAGGCCTCAGTGGGTATGCGTATGTACTCGCGAGCCGTCAGCAAGTGAGGCAGTGCACAGTACAGCTGTCTCCATAAGTGTATCTGAGAGACTGGGACGAAAGCCCAACGATCAGTCTGAATTCATCCTGGACAGGAGAAAAACATGTCATTGGAAAACATACTTCGTTGAACACACTCGAATCGCTCACAAACCACATTTTACTTACAACGTTGCAGTATAATACTCGCAACACCTCACGAGTGTTGGCAAGTGGATTAATGGAAGTTATCGCACTACCTTGTGCAAATGTGCCTAACGGGAAACAACTCCCCTCAATTTTTGATGATGAGTGATGATTGCGATGTACAGATGTTCCGCACTGATGTCAATAGATCGGTTTTTGCGGATCGATCAACAAGGAACTCACGCACCATAAGCGGATTAAACCGAATAAATAAGACATATGGATATACACTCATCTGCAAACTAATTTGGTTCTTTCGAGAGTCTCACCCGAAACCCAGCTGAATCTCTCGTTTGTTATGTTCTCAGGCAACTGAATGTGCTGCACCAGGCCGCCTCATGTTTCAGTCGCTACGATATTTGAAATATCGCGATACACGTATATTTGTAATGTACTAATCATAAGGTTGCTGAAAATCCATCGACAGCCCACGACCGATTTCGCCCTTCCACTTTGGGCTCATCAGGTAGGCGCAGTCCCCGGGTTTCCGTCAACCTTATGTTCTACTTGAAACCAAATTGCACGAAATTAGCGAATATACACTCATCTGCAAACTAATTTGGTTCTTTCGAGAGTCTCACCCGAAACCCAGCTGAATCTCTCGTTTGTTATGTTCTCAGGCAACTGAATGTGCTGCACCAGGCCGCCTCATGTTTCAGTCGCTACGATATTTGAAATATCGCGATACACGTATATTTGTAATGTACTAATCATAAGGTTGCTGAAAATCCATCGACAGCCCACGACCGATTTCGCCCTTCCACTTTGGGCTCATCAGGTAGGCGCAGTCCCCGGGTTTCCGTCAACCTTATGTTCTACTTGAAACCAAATTGCACGAAATTAGCGAATCCTTATGAGTAGTACATTACAAATATAAGACATATACGGGTTATTCAAAACTGTCAAAGCCATTTGATTGTTTGATTTAGCAACAGCTACTTGGAATCTTCCGTTAGGATAAGATTGATCAAGTCAGAATGTTCACATGAATATGGGTATTCCCAAGACTTTGTCTTGTTAGCAGCTGAAAGGTTGGTTTTGACGGTATATTTATAGGAATAATGGCGCTACCTGACGACATGCCTATGAGATTCTTCTCTCATATTTTTAGATAAAAAGCTCATAAAACCTTACTCAGGAAAGTGAGTTCAAGATTGAGTTTTATTCACATTTGCTGAGTTCAGTAGTTATGCTTTACCGGACACTTCTGGTTTTAAAATACCTCTGTCCACCTCCCACGAGCTTTTACAAAAACAAAACCTGAGCTTAGCCTTTCCTCCCCTTGTTGTGGACCGATAGTTGTAATCGTGACTCGATGACTGTTCGGCTGCTGCTGTACTCACCTTTTCTCTTGTTCTGTTTGTCCGGAATGCACCGGTCGAAGACCCGGTGCTGCTGCTATGCATTTTACTCCGATCTTGCGATCAGCAATGAAAGTCTGAGCCATGATTATGGTGTAAAAATACCATACATATGGTGCGAAACAATGAGTGTTACAGACACCAGCCCAATCACAATCAGTGCCGCCCTGAAGTTAATACACATTCCATGTCAATCATGTTACCGAACAATTTACAAAGTGTGCACCTTTTTTCATCCTCGGTATGACGCGAAAACTATTGATGGACGATTCACGTGAATCTCAAATCATGATACATTCCAAATCTAGATGCGTCTTTTGACTTCAGCTGTCAGTGTCATTCTTTTCAACACTAATCTCCGGTTGCTCGATTAACACCACACATGAAACCCGCGAAAAACATGGTCCTGGCTACCGAAATAAGATAACCCTCTTACTAACATTCGACCGCGTTTCTTTACGATTCTTTGAACTCAGTATTACTTGCAAAGGAGGTTACAGTGTGGTTAACACGGTATTCGTAAAACGAACAGGATACTAGGCACGCTAAATTGGATTTTAAAAAATTCGTTCTTGAATTTGAGCGCCGTTTATTGGAAGCATACCGCAGTTTATCCAACATGCATACTGATAGATTTAGGTCACTGATTGGCGACACGCAACCAAGCTTCCGAATAAACTCCGAGAGGACAAAGATGCGCAACTTTTGGACAACATGAAGCGTTCAAAACCCATTGCAACGTCGCAGATTTTTACGACGCTTCATGATTGTGGGTTACAAAAATCGGGGTGAGCCGATGGTAAATGGGCCTCAGTTGCACCACGGTGCAACCTTATCAACCTCCTAGAAGTGCCTAGGCGGCGCCCTCGTTTGAATTGTCACCAGTTTACTGCAAGCCTTTTTCCTGGACAGTTACACGGAAGTTGGAATCGATCGGGCGAAACCGACAGACAGTTCCTTTAGAAGCAAAAATGGTTGAAGGTGGTCAGCCCTCGAAGAGGAGCAGCGACTCCAGTAACTGATTGAATTTGCTGATTGCTATCCCGCACCTCTTTTTTCAACATACAGTTTTGAGAATGCTCAGCAAAACCCAACATGCATGTCGGGGAGTTATTTTTTCACCAGAAAAAAGCAGCCTACCCGGCTGGACGTCGACGCCCATGGGCGTTTTATATTGACTTTCTACATCGTTGTGCGCACAGTGATTGAAAGACTGGTAAAACAAATCAACTTAAACTCTGATAAATGGAATCCGTCCCAACCCAACAATACCTACTTCGATACATCCAACCATTAGAATACAAAGTCATAAAAGTTCTAATAATCTTCAACTGCTTAGGTTCTTAAACCCGGTATCATGATAATGGTATTCACCTATTTTGAACTATGCAAACGATACGCGATCAGGCGCAACCAAACCTGATGACAATTGAGGCACCGAGACCAAGTGTGAGCACCTGTGTGCACCATCGTTGAGTTCAACAGTCGGTGACAAGACATGGTGACGTTTAAACAGTAGGGTGAAGGTAGTCTGACAGCTGCTGGATCTCGAGTCCGGCAACCTCGCCTGAAGGCGGTAATGCTTGCAACGACACAATGCTCATTAAAGGCCTCACCTGGTCAGCGGACTACTCTATGGTACAACGGCTTCCTAGAGTAACCACCACAGGGAAAAGTAACACTTCATTTGGTGTATTCTGGACTACTGCAAATCACATCACAGCTGATAAGAGACAAGTTTACGCAATTTCTCCGCGGAAAGAATGCAATTTTCGGCACATCATTATTTTGTTTGACGGACGTCGCTTCCGAAGAACGGGATAATCTGAAGATGGCTGTAGTTGAGTACATTTTATTCTGGTAGAGAGATGACCTAACGTACCACGACCATGCGCCCCTTTCAATCTCGAGGGAAATAAACAAATTGGTGAACACCTGTCAACAATATATTTTCACACTGAAAAATAGATAGTAGGGGAAAATCGAATCGCAATATGGGCAATGCTGGACAGGAAAGCGCGCATACAAGTAGATATCAACGGAACCAGTGAAAAAAATCAATATCGTCAAGATCAACCCACTCCCACTCCCCGGTATCTGAATCTCCCTCCGGACTTCAAAGAACAAAATAAATTTCCTGGGTAAATTGGCAGAGCTACGAAGGCATCAAGATGGGAGTAGGGGGAGGGTAGTACCCCGTTCGAGGAGAGTGTACTGGCACTATTTACGGGTGAAAGCAAGGGTTTGTTTCTAGGATACAGGGCTCTTTTTGTGAGCGAATAAGCAAATTTGTGCAGCAACAGTAACAGCAACGAAAGCTCGAGAAGAGAAAAATAAGCAAACAAACGATCAAAAGAGCACTTCTAACACATTCCCCTGTCCATCTCCCGGGTAGGAAAAGGCATGTATAGTAAGTGACAGTAGAAAAAATATGTGAGTAGGGCCAGGCACCGAGTAATGACTCACAGCCAATGAAACAAATAGCTAGATGCGGAAGGAAAGGGAGTGGATGGGTGCAGAGCAACGAGAACGGACGGGGATACAAAGAGGCACAGTAGAGCAACACATTAGGCGGGCGACGAAAAAGGACAACCAGAAATCGAACACAGTACTGAAATATCTCGTGTAAACGATAAACATACACTTGTGTGGAACTTCTGACGTGACGGGAAGTGGCGAGTCTGTAGGCGTTTGTACAAAAACTGAATGCTGCAGATCGGATAGAAGTTCAATCTGATTTGAGTGGCTTCACATAACCGTTGCATGAGTTCAAACTCCCATTGCTCGCGTCCAACGAATTGTTGTGCTGTTTTTGCGACAATGATGGGACACCAGGTTTGTGCTTCCCATCAGCCAGGATGGTTTGTTGCTTGCCGCTATCTGAGGCAGTTTCATCATCTTCCGATTCATCTTCCCGCATGTCTCCGGAAGACGGACGGAGAATGAGACGAACGGCCATAATGGCGATGAACTAATTTGGGGCAACGGAATGAAAAAGAAATGGCCAATAGAAAGCCTCAGTTAGCCCCGTGAACATTGCAGACAATTGCAGCGTAGAGTTTTTTATAGGGGAAAAGGGTGACAAAAAATAAGCGTATTTATTTCGAATGCAGAAGAGCGGTTCGCACCGCATCAGTAGTAAACCCAACCTGACCGATATGAGAGCACGACGGAGAAAAAAGTCCTGAGAATAACCCCAAAAGATTCGCTGTAGTTGGCGCGGTGCGTCTACTAGGAACTGGTCAACTCCGTTACTTGTCAACTTGGGGTCGTCGGTTATAATCATGAGCGGTCCAATTCTGTGGCCGAATTGCCTTACTGTAAATCTAACAGACCAGACAGTACAAATGGCATCTTTTGGATGTGGACGGCCCGAACCGTAGACTCAATCACGCCATGAATCAAGCGTTCTCTACCATACAACCTTGTTTTATAGTCTAACGGTTATTATCCTTTAATGTGGATGTCCGTCGATAACCAGAAAATGCTACTATGTTCGTTCTCATGCAACTGTTTTGAAGAGCACGATAACAAGGAAACTTCGTCGGAAATTTAAAGGACATTTGCAGTTCAGACCCGGTAGCGGTAATCTGAAGTTGATGAGCAGTTCGGTTTACCAACGCTTGATGGATATACATCATATCAACCTTGGTAAGACATTCGGGTCTGTGTTAAGAACGCAACAAAACCCACTTGGCGGCCGAAACGACTGCTATGAGAGCAAGCACATGACTCCATCTTTTTTCGCGTACGTGAAGTTTTGCGACTGAACTCACCCATAACCTCACAAAGATACACAACTCCAGGTCGACTAACAAGGATCTTGAAACGAGAAGTCCAGGTACACATAACCAGAAAAGAAAATGTGTATTCGAACGATCACCGCCTCAGCTCACTGGATGATCTTACAAACTAAGTTGTCGAAGACACTGGTTCTATGTCACATGCACATATGTTAAGCCGAAATGTCCACCCTATCCGCGCCTTCTTGCTCAGGCTGTGTACACATGGACTTTTCAGTTGGATTCATGGAGGATTAAAACATCCGGCCACTGTAGAATTACCGCAAGGGGTTTACTGACGGGGCGGGCAGAATACAACTGTTAATTGACTGGATCGAAGTGGGACAACGCTCTAGTGCGTATGTGTGACGGATATCAAGTGGAATCGAACTCAGCTGCTAGAGCACCTTTGTGTACTCGGGTTTCCGACTTCACTCAACGAGAAGTAGTAGATCGATTTCAGTCGTTTTAGGCCGACAATGAAAGAGTCAGCACAGATCCAGAAATGGACGAATTGTGTTTGGAGGAAATAAGGGCTTCTACAGACGAAGTACGAAATCACGTTTTAACACCATAACCATCAGTGTTTCATTAGCGTAACTTGGAAAAACGAACAAAGTGGAGAAAACTGAGTACTTCATCACTGGGACTCCAGGCTCCTGACCAAGAGCCAGTCACAACGTGTCACAACTAGTGATTTCACCGGTGTGAGGCATTGGAATGGATGTGCTCTGACTCACTAAATTCTTTATACGTGTGTGTGTGTGTGTGTGTGTGTGTGCATCTCAAATCTGTAAGGTGACGCGGTCAGTCGGTGGCGTATGCGGTGATTTCTGGTAGGAAATGTTGCATTTACAAAATTTCACCGAAAGTCTAGAAATTGATCTGTGGAAGTCAGAGAAGGTTGAACTTAAACCCGATTATCGTACGCAGCACGGCAGTTTGTAGGTTAACGGTAACCAGGCCTACAAACCTTCTCGTGCAACCAAGTATGTATGGTTGGTGAAAAGGGGTAAGTCGGCGTCTGCGATGATGCACTCACGCGATATTACGCCAGGTATATCAAAACGTCAAAGGCGCAAGTGGAAAAATCGACTAGTCTCCCTACCCCAAGCGGCTTCAAGCTTGCTTGCGTGTGCAAGCGCACGCATCAAAGTGCTGATCCTCTAAGCTCACAACGGGAACAATGATGGAAACACATTGACTGTGTTGTCGCCCCTTTGGCTACGATGTTCATACCAAAAACAGAATAAAAAAACAATGGCCTTTTTCGGTGTTCTGCACGTCACAGTGTGTAATCACGAACTACAAAGCAGCCGAATAGATGTGAGATGCTAGTGATGTAAAGCCGTAAAAAAACTCACCCGGAACCAGTAAAGGTGCATAGCAAACAGTGCCCAGAGCATTGAGTTGAAGAAGAGAAAACTTCGACACTCTCTACCCAAATTGGTGATGTACAAACCCCAGGAAGTGGCGTAGAGCACCTTCAACGGGAACCAGTACAGACGCATTATGACCCTGTTGGTTGTGAACGGACGGAGAGGAACAGCAGAGTGTTATTACAGACAAACTGGAAAAACGGATGGGAAAATTAATGGAAATCAAAGTGATAAGGGTAGACTATTAAGGAATTCTACTGAATGTACAGTTTTGAAGCGTAAGGTTATCTTGATCCGTTTCACCGAAACAGCCAGATGAAAGGTTGCGAGATGTTAACCCTCATCAGCTGCATACAGAACACTCAGAATTCATAGGTAACAGACAACCTACATCGACAAGAACATGGACAACAGAATAGCACATTGCTCTGAAGGAAGGACTGCTGAGTTCTCATCAACATCACTTCATAAAAATTCAGCAGTTTCTGGTCTCGTCTGTGGTGAAAGCACGAACGGGACCAACCAGAGATGCTTGTCACCGACGGCTTCCTGTCTAAAGAATGGTTAGAATGCAGCAGAACAACACACAGTTGATAAGCGATCTCAAGATTTTTGAATAAAACTTCGAGCGAGGATGTGAACCCATAGTCCACCAGGCCAGAGGGGATAAAGACAGACAACTATTCGCCGTATATTTTATAACTGGAGGACCAATTCTTTTGTTACTTAAAAATTGCTGTTGATCAGATGACAGAGAACGGAGAATGATCATCATCATCATCATCAATGACAGCAACATCAGTGTTGGCACTGATGCTTCACTGCCGTACAACCATAAAGTTCGTTTAGTTATATATATATATATATATA